ATCGAACAACTGAATACGAAGTGCGGTGATAAGTGGCTCTATAGCCTGACCAAGTGCGGGCTAATCACAGTGATGATCCCCCTTCCGTGGCCAAGTGGTTAAGTGCTCACATCACTAGCTGGGAGGTTTTGGGCTCAATATCCCTTGGAAACCTGTGAGATGCGCACTACCGATTATTCCTGGTGGGGAGGAAACCGCTTCATGGCTCTGCAAGGTCGATTGACTTCACAAACAGGACAAAATCTGATTGGAGGAAACCACTAAGTTTTAAATGACCCAAGGGCTTCAAATCAAGAGTACATTGTTCGTAGAATGACACGTGAACGTCAAAGGGATTGCTGGAAGGGGCAGTAATAAACATGACGAGTGAATCCGGTTCCAGTAGTCATCAGTCAGCTCTTTAAAAATGAAGAATTATTGGACGAAGAACAAGTAATGTCTCTGAAGTTTGGGACGCAACTTAGAGAGACTGTCAAACGTCAGTGCATGCAGAACGGCAAATACCGTTTTTGAGAGCCAAGAATCAAAGCACTCAGGCTGATTGGGGCCTGAGAAACTTTTATATATTAACATCCACATATACATAGATATGTATGCATACACACATGTATGAGTAGATGCATTCATATGTATGTATATGGGTAATCTGTCAAACTGGCCCATTTCCGTTTGCAAATACATTAGCGTTTGTTGTGAGAATCACACAGGCCACTGAACATATAGTATGTACAGTTTCTTTTACTTATTCGTACGATAAACGAGAGAAACGTATGAACTTTTGCATCCAGCCATAAAAGGGGTCATCTTGAACGCACAGAGACTGTCGCTTTCACAGACAAGCTGCAAGAACCTCACACCTACTAGTTCCCATTATCTGTGGTGTCTAAAGGACAGTTTAAATACTGCAGTAAGGGCTGTATTGTTGTATGGACGCGAGACATGACCAACGCAGACACATGCTTTGAAGCGTCTTTAGGTTGATAATGTGTTGAAATATTGGTAGCTCGGGTGAGTTTATTGGTTGTTGATCAGGTGGCTGTTGATCTGTTCCCCGAGCTTGACAATTGGCTTGCAAACGTTTCGTCGCCATACGAGGGGACATCGTCAGTGCGCAGTTGGGTGGGTGACCCCAATTACCAAGCTCGGGCGTTTTTAGGTTTTTGATCACTGATGCTTCAGAAGTGTTGCTGGTGTCCGATGATATCAGCCAATTCGTAGCAAGGTGAGTGGAAAACGGATAATTGGTAATGCAGCAGATATTTCATTCGCGGAACATGTTCAGCACCATCAACTGCAGTGGATCGGTCATGTGCTACGAATGCTGAAACATCGTCTACCGAGACAAGTATCGTCCTCTGTGCCTCCCTCAGAATGACGCAAACCGAGAGGTGAACAACGTATGACTTGGCAGAAGAGTGTGAGAGATTTTACCAAGTGTTTTGGGTATTGGCGGTGTTGTATGTCTTCCAGGATGGGGTCACCGTGACCTCTGCGGTGCTTGGCTGAGAACAAGTCAAGAAATGGCGGCGTGTTGTCAGTTTCTTTTCGGATTATCAGTGTAGGCACCATAGAATGCTTGCGATAGTCCAGCACCAGTTTCATCCTCCACCCAAACTTTTTGTTTTGTATCAAATCAAGACTTAAAGTGTAATTATATAAGCTTTTTGGTTGTACGACAGTGGAGCGTCAGTTTCAACACTGATATTGCTCTCTCCGATGACAATAAAGCGAGGCGAACATCGATACTTAAGTGTTGCACAAATACTGCAGTGACACTCAGACATAGACCCGCATGTGTGTGCGCCCATCACTTTAAAGATTCCTTTAGAAAGCAGCATGTCCTTGCTGAACAATCTGTCCGCTCAATGGCAAAGGAGACTTATTGGCTACTTAAATTTCTAGTCTACTCCAGCACTCTCAGTAATCACTTACGGACTAAAACACTCACATACTAAAGCAATCGTTAGAGTCAATAGCTTCGTGCATCACGTGATTGAAGGCCCTATCAGGGGCAAAGTAATCCGAATCACGAAGCAAAGAACAGTAACCAACTCTTTTTTCCATCACTAATCAGTCACACACAGTGAATCCTCTGCTGAACCTCGATCGTATCCAATAGGTCGCAGATTTCTATCTCATAAAACACGAGAAAACCTCGAATCCGCGACTTTTCGGCCATTAGTTTGAGCAGTTAACCGTTCGTCCAAGAGCAGCCCATCATCATTGAGATCAACTCTCACTTAGGCAGTATACATTGCCATTCACCATTCAATTACGGTAGTGAATCATCGGTGTTCTAGACCAATGATGATGACTATTCAATGACGGAAACCACATCACGTGGTCATACTTGCTGACTAGCTCCTTGAGTGGCGACTTCTCAGTTTCCTCCCACTTTTGATGCCACAAAACAACTCCTGCCTGTCTCCGTGTAAAGATGGTATTTGGTGAAAATCACCCTGAATCACCCGGAGAAAAGACTCCCCACATAGCGTCTAATCACTCTCATTATACAGAACGTGGATAAACGCGTTTTTAGACCTCACTCTGTGCTACTTACGGACGGAGAATACAAAACACAAAACAAAATAATCTTGAGATACATCCCGAGGCTTCAACGTATACGGTACATTAGAAACCTGCTATCAACTTATAATTTAGATGTGATATCTTTTCTGTCACACGGGAAATCTACAACAAACTGGAATATTCATTTTTGTGAAGACCACAAGATCCATCCGAACATTTGGGATTTCCAATGAAGCCAGAAATTCCAATGAACAAAATGTGATAACACAATGTACCCTAGTCTCGAGGGCCTGACTGACTAATTTTAATCGCCGTGATGAAGTACTGATCCACACACCCACACAAATTTGATTGGTCCACCTGGTCCTATAAATTATCCACTCTGTTCGAAACATTTGTCGACCGATTCAAAAACGATGAAGCCAGTGATTTTCGGCAGCATCTCTCTGCTACACCTGGTGATGGTGCTTGCAGGTGGCTCTGACTGTCTTTCATTGCCAGAAAAACACACCCTTTCCCCAATATGTCCCGGTCAACGTATACAATGGTTCCGCTCAAGAATTATTGCGAATGGACCCAAACATCGTTTTCATACTGAAACTTTGGAACAATGTCAGCATCGATGCATCGAAAACATTCGTTGTATTGCTGTGGAATATGAGGTAAGCAGCACAGTAATTGATAGTTGAATGCTTCGAATTAGACATTCACCTGCATATCAATCTGGTTTTGATGGGAGACTCACCTGGAACTTAGCTGAGTCCTTCGTTTGTGATGAGTAATTTACTACGGCTATATAGGTGGATTATCTTTAAAATATGTACCTACTCGACATGCTCACAATCAGTGAAGAAACGAATCAATCTTACCTCAGCTTGTCGGACTATTTGCCGGATTCCCGTCAACTCAGATTGCTTAAAGGAATAAATCACTTTTGGGTAGAAGTTTCTGGGATAATACCGCAGGTTGCTCTCAGAAGCTTGCTGTATAAATCATAGATTTTCGAAGCCTATCTCTCCTGGGAATTTAAAATGACCGTTGGGCACAAGGGGTCACCTTTTCGCCGAGCCCCTCAAATTCAAGGAAGAGAGACCACAGCGCAAAACACATCGGGAAGGGACCAGTCGGAAAGCGGACGTAGAAAACCGCAAAGGGGGTATTTAACAAACCAATGGAATGCAAACTACACAGACCACAACGCAGCCAAAATGATGAGGGAAGCAATAAGATTACGAGAAGAATGTTCACCAATGGGCTAGTCGTACGAGAGGATAAAAATGTTCTTGGAAAGCTATATAAATGCAGATAGGTAGGATGGAATACCCAGCTAACTGTGCGCTGTGTCCCCTGGACTGGGGGGGGGCGTTTGCGAACCAGTTGCCAAGCTTGGCGAACATATCAGTGGGGATCCGATCAACCACCTTGAGCAAATCCTTAAGATTTTCGACCTAGGATTTCTGGCGATTCATTCTTCTTCTTGAGGCGATCGGTTGACCAAATGATTGCCTGTTCTCAGCCCTATACAGGAGCACCATCTAAAGTTAACATGTTACGCGATCCGCAGTTATCATCAGTTTGATTTCTAATCATAATGACGTGATACTACACCTTTTGTGTTTCCATTTTTATCGGTAGTCTGAGGACGTTTCTGAAGCAAAGAAAGTCTACTCTAAAAGTTCATCAGGGTGATTCATTCTTACTGAGAGCGCATCTTACAGAACGCATCTCGTGAACCTCAGAGGTTCGATGTGACTCATTGATTGACTCATTGCATTTCGGATTTGGTCACGTGCTGCTACAGCCAAATGTGAGTGGCATGAAAGAAAATGCTATAAACGTCCGGCTACATGCGATGGGTAGCGTCACAAATGATGATGAAACGGATAGCCTTCTTTTTTGTCCTGAGCATGCGGCAAGCCCATTGTCCAAACCGTAAACTTAGGTGGATTTTTTCGGGCCTGATTATTCATCTTTCACTTTGGGTAGGAAGTGACAGAGCAAAACTCGAAACGTTACGTCAGTCTTAGCTTGTGCTTCTGGTGCACGCGTACAGCTAATCAGTTAGCCTTGTTCACCTGACTTACGGGGCAGTTGGATTGCAAACGTTTCATCACCAATCGAGGTGACATCGTCAGTGCGGGGTTGAGTGGGTGAATTCCTCCTTTCTGCCTCTGATTACACAGCTTCTAAGCAGTATCTGGTAGTTCTGGAAACGGTCCTCGTGTAGTTTGATTGGTCTCCTGTGAATCTGACGTGGTCTCAATATCCTGTGTCTGGATGGTTCGTTGGGTGCATTCGATTCGGCGGTTCTGTATGTGGTTGTCATGCTGTGATTCGGTCGTTTCCTTCTTGCCGAGAGACCACGTCAGATTCACAGGAGACCAATCAAACTACACGAGGACCGTTTCCAGAACTACCAGATACTGCTTAGAAGCTGTGTAATCAGAGGCAGAAAGGAGGAATTCACCCACTCAACCCCGCACTGACGATGTCACCTCGATTGGTGATGAAACGTTTGCAATCCAACTGTCAAGCTCGGCAAACAGACCAACAACCATGGTGGAGTCAGTTGACGATGTCTTTAATTCGTTCGGTTTTCCTCTATATACCTGATAGCTCTTTGTTTTCAACAGACCTGGTTTTGTTCAACTGGCATACCGCTCGTTAGTGTTGGTTATCTAGGCGCGGCTGTGTCCTGGAAGACGCAACGCGCCGAAACAGTCGTTAAAACAAACAATGGTTCTACAAACATAGACCACAAACAGCCCGTGTGAGCCGAGCGTTTCCCGATAACAAAAACCGGCGGTTTCACAATACCATGCCCAAAACAATTGCCGATGTTTCCAGTCGCAACGATGCCCATCAACGTCTTGTAGCAGGAAACTAGCAAACAGAACGCCTAAACTAATAAAAGGGGGGAATTAATGAGGCAAACAAAAGAATTTTTAACTTTCCAGCCTTTAGGGCTGAACAAACACAATGGGAATGCTGGATATCTGGGGTTAGAAACTGGTCGGCAAACTAACATTGAAGCCAGTCCACTATGAAATGCCGAGAAGCCCTGCGCAACTGTTTCAACCTTATTGGGACGCATCAGCTTTGAGCATCTTATGAGACTACAGAGTTTTGAGCCAGCGACCCTCTGATGGGTGGCTGAACACTTATTTGTTAAGGCATGAGCTGACTATCAACAGTTCGGTCAACTATGGAAAACGAACAACGAGTGGGGCGAATGTATAGAACCGCCTAGCAGTGTGGTTTCACAGGAATATATCTGAGTTATATTTTACGGTCGGTCCAACACAAACCTTCATACAGTTCAAGCAACCTGTGTCAGATCAGCCATTGACTCAGCTTTAGTTTACACGTATTACGTTGATACAGTTAAACCATTCTAGAGCCAACGCGTACAATCCGGGCCAAATACGCTTGTTTCGCATGTAAGGACGCTGTAGGGTGAGTTGTGTATATGGTCGTTGGCTTGTTCGCTGAGCTGGGCAATTTGGTTGCAAACGTTTCATCACCAATCGAGGTGACATCGTCAGTGCGT